TCTAGATCCTCAACTGCTTCAAATCTTCTTCTTTTGACGATAATCTGTCATCAAAGCATCAACAATTGCGTTGTCTAAAACATTCCAACCCTTCGATTCCCCATAGTTTGTGCTATATACAGAAGGGATCGAAGTCATGACGCCATGCCACTGATTGAAGGTATCTTTTGAGGATTCATCAAGCATTTCTGAATGGCTCCCAAAGGAAACCGCAGAAGTCCCCAGCAGGTCTCCTCCCATTATTGTGTCATTGCCAAAGTCCGTCCCAACTGTTAATTTGGGGTCGAAAGCATTTGATGGAAATTGCGGTTTTTGATTAGTCAAAATAAAGTTATGTAGGTGCGATAAAAGATGATGCATGGTAGGGAAAGCCGCTACCATGGCGATTGTCTTGCGATCAGAGTACGATCCGACCTCTGCAAGCATGCTGGCATACAGCTTCTGGAAGTCGTGTGGCTCACATTTATACCGAGCATCTGGGCGAATTTTGAGCGTTGATAAAGTGCTCAACGACTTGCCGCGTTGCGAAGAGAGTAGACCACCTTCGTCGGAAGTTTGAAATCTCTTTGGGCTCCCCATTGGCTGAGCTTCAGCGGCCTCCGATAAAGACTTCAGCCGCGTGTGAGCAAGCCCAAGGACGATGTGAGCCGCCTGATCAGGTGAAGTTGCGGTTGTGCAGTGCCCAATAGCGACCTTGATAGACAAAGATGTGCGTTTATCAGAAGCATCAGAATACTTTCTATCAGCCAGTGAAGCCTCCATCGCTTCTGTGTGCGATTCCGATACCTGTATATGTCTGTATTTAGCAAACCACATTATGGCCAAAGTGAATAATTCGGATGCATCCTTGTTTGTAATAACACTACCGCTGCCTCGAGAATACCCATCGGTTGAGGTTGCACAAGGTATACCATGTTGACCAGGCGGTGCAGAAACAGGGGAAGAAAGAGAATGCACGCCATCGAAAGCAACGCCTCGTGGTACCACAACAATGTGCAGCCGCAATTGCCGCGTATTCTCAGCCTGTGCGTTGTTCAAGAAAGGTTCGGAAAAGAAAAGGTCAACATGATTATTGAGAGAACCCTCATTGGTATTGTTAATGGTGGAATCTTGGCTGGTGCTGCTTTGGAAGCAAGTCTCGTCGAGGCTTCCATGCCCCCATATATACGCTACACTGGCTTCACATACCGCCTCGAGGTACCGCTCCCACGCATTAACTGACCGAGCAGATTTTTTCAAAAAGAGCATCGCCTGCCTCGTTTCCAAAAACAAAACAACGTCTACACGGGCAGAATTTCGGCTTACTGCCCCCACACCCCCTAGGTGCGGCTCAGAAATGTCCTCTCGGCATAAACCTCGCTTGTTGTGTATTTCATACCAATAAGAGTGAGCAGACCCATCAGCAGGCTCATTCGAATCCCACATCAAGACAGTTTGCGCCGCAGGGCATTCCCCGCTTCGCCGTGCACATACCTCAATACGCTTACCGCGCTGCCGGTACGTAGAGATGTCGAAGTTCGTCAAGATGTCAAAAGAAGATAGCGACACATCGACTCTAATATTCAGAGCTAAAGACATTCCACTCCTCACCACCACTCCCTCCACACATACACATACACACACCAAGATCCAATGGTAATGGTGGTCCTGTTGCCTTGGTATAAGTATGAATAAAGGTACCGATTTATTCTCCCCAGTTTGTCCTATTTGTAGTGGGAAAAAATGATGCAGAATGTAGTCCACACCCCTAGAGCAATAGGTTAAAAAGAAATAGAAAGGGAAAAGACAATAGATACAACAAACGAGAGATGAATAAAGTAACCCCTTTTCCTAAGAGAAAAATTTATTCGAAGGAAATAAATTTGAAAATATGTTATAGGTGAATAATAATAATAAATATCAAAAGAAAATCGAAAAAGTGTTTTATGGGCTTCAACCACAGATGAAAAAACTAACGCAACCAAATAGATTACGATTTCTGGTATTGTTTCTGGCCTCGCTCACATGTACGCCTTGGACGATTAAACGTAAACAGAACCAACCAATTCTCGACTGTTGAATACAAGGCACTCCACCTTTTCACCTCCTTCTTCGTAGTTGGGCATTGTCTCTGGGTTCTCTTCGAAGTGTCGACCGATTGGATTCGGCGCTGGACTCACCCTTGACGTGGGTCTGTCGTGTGTTTGCGCTGTGTGAAATGCCCAAATATCTAGGTTCGCCCCTCCCCCACCTTGTGTGATCGCGCTTAGTTTCGTGAAGAAGTCCATGAAGTCCTCCGACAAATGATCCAAACATACCACCGCGATGAGGTGAATAGACTGTAAAGGTTCCGTCCTGGTCGATAAATCCAGCGGATGCGACACGGGCAAGTTCGGTGCGATGCCCCCGTATGGGGTATTCACCTTGGGCCGGCGGTACCGTAGAAAGTGCCGCACCGCGTGCTGAATCTGTATGTTTATCGGGATGAAGCCATCCACGCGAAAGCACTCCGCCCATCCATCGGGCGGGGCGCTCGGGCAAGCCGATGGGTCCCCGTCGCCACCCCACACGGGCGAAGAACGACGGCGGAGTGAGTCCCTGAGGCGCAGACAAATGGGCTTCTTGGGCGGGACGCCGAGCAGTGGATACACCTCCCCCCACACGGCCCGCGCGAATGCCGAGGACGAAGAGGTCGCCGCAGACCCATGGTCAGAGGTTCGCCGGTAGGCCAAGTACTCCTGCCAAGCCGGGACCCAATCTGCGTGTTGGAGTTTCGGATCGGAGGGACTTAACAAAACACAGCGGATGAACACCTTGGGCAGGCGCAAGGTCTCGTCATGGGTGTGAGGGGAACCTGAGGGCTCGCCAAGGGAAGTCCCTCCTGAACTGGGACTGCCCCAACGAGATCGGAGCCGGCTACGGATGGTGGGTTCCACCACGTCAAGGTAGTACGACAGCGTGATGGTGGCTGTGCTGCCGATATCCACCAGACATGCCGCTGAGAGTGATAACACCAATTGCGAGTGGGTATTGCCAAAAGGTGGGTTAACGCTAAAGGTGGTGGCACTTCTCGCATAACTTTTAAAAGACCCCATAAAGAGACTCGAGGCGCCGTCATAAGCCAAGTTTTGGGTACGAAAAGAAGCTAAAAATCGCATGTGTTGCGCACACACTCGCACATTGGCGTTGTTCCCTACCCCACCCCCTTCTTTCCGTCGTGATCCGTTTGAATACAAACAATACCAAAGCCCACTTCCGTGTGAAGATTGTAATGCACGTTAGGACTTCATGAATTGCCTTAGAGAAGGAAAGAATGGTGAAGAGTGAGAACGTGTAATAGATTAGATAAAAATGTCATTGAAGATGACCACTCCAAACGAACGAAACCCCCTCTCGTTGTCTAAGAATGAATTAGAACACGCTCGATGGATTATTTCTTAAATTGAAAAAACAATCACAGAAAGCACTATATTGATGACATTATCATCAAACCATTATAAATTATGTTTTGTTTCATTTATTTTTTGAGAGCAAGGTGTAAATTACTTCGTTTTATTGCCTCTATAAGAATAAAAATGTGGAACACTACATGATATCTCAAAAAATGAGGCTTTATGCTCTTTAAACCTGGGAGCATTCTCAAGGAACATTTAAAGACATGAAAATGCACAAAATTCCTTCTCTCCTCTCTTCCATTGCGCTTCGTTAATGTTTTATTCAGCTTCGGTGTACTTGACAAATATAACCAATAAGCTCAAGTCAGAAAAAAACACTGTCATACTCAATCTATTATATTTTCCAACTCATCGGATGTCAACGGCACCGTGATGGGTGCAATCATGGGGTTCATCACTTCCAAAAAATTGTCAAGATCAATGCGAGCCTTGCAGTGAAGGTGACCGCCACCGGTCCAAAAAAATCTCGGTTCTAGCTTTGTAATGCTAGAGCTCAGTATGATAGGTATTTTTTGCCGTGTGCCGTAGGGAACCACAGCACCAGAAGGAAAACCTGTCAGCTCCAACGATTCTTCAGAACTTGCAAGCCTGAAGTTGAATTTCTTCTTCCCAATGGTAGGGTTGAATTTTCTGATAAATCGCATGACGAGATCCGCATCAAAGCGTTCCACGTATTGGACCACAAGTAGGTAGTACCGAGAATTCTCTCGGACCGAAAAGTCTGAATGTACACAGTGCGTATTAGTCAAGACAATGGTCTTACACAAAAAAGCAATAGATGGAGCGTTCAGTATGTCGCGTCGCCATGTTAATGTATGACTGTAATAGTCCGAAGGAACCCATTTAAAAATAGCTGAGCATAGTTTATTGTCAAGGCACCAACGGCGGAGCTCCGCCACTATGGGAAGGTCTTCCTTACAGGGTTGTAGAGCAGCAATCGTGGAGGGATCAACGTGCGTTTCACCACATTGAGTCTCCTGTATGTTTTCCGAGGTATTAGGTGTGTTTAGCACCTTTTTTGACTCATCCAACCACGCAGGCGAGATGAGAGAAATCATCGCCTCCTGTAGCGTCTGGATAGAACTTCCGATAGCATTGTAGCGATTGCTAAGAACTACAATACGCTTTTCAAACAATTGAGAACTCATAAGGAAAAAATGACCCTTTTGAGCCGTTTGTTGAATTCTCTTTTGAATGTTGCACAGTAAAAATCCGTTTCTTGAGCGATAACACTAGAAAAATATACAAAGAGTGTAGGAAAAGCGGAGAAAGGTAAGCGCGTGTTACTGATGATCGTACCCTTCGAAAAGAAAAGACAGATACCAATACAAAGAAAGTGAGAACAAAAAGAAGGCTGGCAAAACAGAGACCTGACGACGCGTAGCCAAATTAGCCATGAAAATGTCTAGGGTGTGATTCGCTTAGGGTCGCGCGGAAACATGGAGGCTTGCCGAACGTCATTCATTTTAAAAAAAAGGAAACGATACGCTCCAAACCCAGACCAAATCCACCGTGCGGCCATGCACCGTAACGGAAGGAGTCAATATAGTTCTGCAGTGGTGCAGGATCGATGCCGAGCGCTACCAGGCGCTCGTCAAGACGCTCAGCGCAGTCATATCTCTGAGATCCACTGCATATCTCCTCCCCACGTAAATACACATCAAAGCTTCGTGTACGTTGGGGTTCCTTGTCGGAGAGTGGCATTGTGTAGAATGGCCGCGATGCGGTGGGAAACTGATCCACCACGTAGACATCGACTCCATAGTGCTCCTTGATCAGTCGTCCCAGGCAGCGCTCCTGCAGTAAGTCAAAGTCGCTCAATATGACGTCGGTTGGAATCATCTCGTTATCACGCATAAGCTGCACCGCATGATCAAAGGAGAGTCGCAAGACGCGCAGGCCTTCCGCGCCCACTCGCACCCCATACACGTTCTGAACGACTTCTCCCGAATCATCCTCAAGGATTTTGGTGCCATCCGTAGTCCTAGGCTCCTGATCGATGATGATGCCATGTTTTCTCATCACCGATGCCGATACCTCATACACAATCGCATCCTTACCCTCGGTGGGAGGCGAAGATAACAGGTCAGGTGAGTCGCTCCACACCGATTCCCGCTGTGATGACCCCGCAAGCGCCTTCTGGACCATTAACCTTGGAACTCGGAGGTCTTCAGAGTGTAAATCTGCCAGGATCCCACACAGGACGTAATCTAGCACATCCAAAACCTCAAGATAGGAGCCCTGAATAACCATCTCCGCGTCAAGGCCCACGAACTCGGTCAGATGGCGGTGTGTGAGGCTCTTCTCCGCGCGAAACACTGGGCCTATCTCAAACACACGCATCGTATCTCCCATCAACGCCATCTGTTTGTATAACTGCGGTGACTGCGCAAGATATGCCTTGTGGTGGAAGTAATCCACCTCGAACGCGGCGCTCCCACCTTCGGAGATCGCTCCGACAAGCTTTGGGGTGTGAATTTCAATAAATCCCCGCTCCAAGAGCCGCCGCCGAAAGCTCTGGCAAACACAGGAAGCGATGCACATTGCAGCGGACGCCAAAGGTGTGCGCAAGTCGACAGCACGGTGGTTAAGCCGTGTATCGAGTTTGGCGCTGGCGTCATGTAGGGGAAAAGGCAAAGGGCTAGCCGCGGCGCTCAGGATTCGTAATTCAGAGGCGTGCAGTTCCCAATCTGCACACGTCGTTGAGACCACAGGCGGCTTGGCGGGTCTAATATCACCCTCAATTTCAACGATGCTCTCAAGGGTTATGGCACTCGCCTTCTTGGCTAGGTCTTTACCGTAGCAAACGACCTGAATTGAGTCACAAGGAGGCTGCCGAAGGTGTAAGAAAACCAACTTGCCGTGACCACGGCTGCGCTCCACACGCCCACGCACCCTCTGCATCCCCACTGTAGTGCTGAGCTTAGCAGAGTCGGTGGGGTTTTCGTTATGGGCATTCGTAGTTTTAGCTGAATCTAGTGTGGAAAAAACAGGTGTTGACGGCTGAACTGCATTAAGTGAAGAACATCTCTGTGGAACACATCGTAGAGTGGATAAATCAAAGCCAGACGCAATTGGTGAGGATGGAAGAATTATCCTGCGCTTTGGCCCAATAATGAACAAGTGAAGAGGGGAGCCGATAAAGGTTTGATAAAGTCTTGCATTACAAAAACGCCTAAATAGAATGCATGATGATCGATGCATAAAAATATTTTTCGCTATATTTATT